GCAATGTTATGTGAACTCTCCGTGGGCCGGCACCTCGCTGTCGAAGTTAGGGAACCGTGTTATAAAGTTTTGACGTTTATGAATTTCATAACGAGATTACTCTCAATGAAATCTAGGTTGTTATATAAAGCATTTTAAATTGTCTTCTTTCTTAAGTTTGATATAATATTGTGTGTGAGTATGACCTACACACACATTCAATTAGAAACTTATATATACGCTCCCTTTCCCCCATCATGACGTCAGCAACAGCGGGGCTTTACTCACGTGTTGATATCGATGGCCCTCGGACGCATGAGACCGGCTCCGTCCACACTCAGGTGGCAGTCGGTCAGAGGCATGTCCAGCGGGTTCTTGAAGGAGAAGGTCGCTTCGCAGGCCACACGGACCTTTGGCTGTGAGGCAACCTAAGAGAGAGAAAAAAATAGGTCGAATTTGTTAATATTTGTTCATACGTACACAGCCACAGTTTCCTAGCAACAGCTTTCATAAAACCCAATTTCTCATGCCCCATTTTCAGTCTCTGATTCGAACCTTCTCCGCAGCTACCCCAGCACCCCAGTCAACACGCCACAGTCAAGTCTTACCTGGATGTCAAGCTTGGGTTTCTCCACCGAGAAGTCGTCCTCGTCACTCCAGGTCTGGCCAGTTTCCTGGACGCGACAGATGGCATAGATCTTCATCATGCAGTGCTCCACCATCTTCTTCCAGTATTCACTGTATGCCACTGTCAGGGCTATCTCCTGTTGTGGGTAGACAAGTTACAGATGTGATCCGAAGTCCTTATAATGTCAGGATAATAAGCAATATGAAATGACACTAAGTTTGCAAACTTCATCTAGCAAATGTAAAGCTAAATTTATTTACAGGTAATTACCTGGATGTGTCATCTGCTGAATAATTCATACCAACACTCCAATTGAACCCATAATTGAAAATATTAAACGCGTTACTTTCTCTGAAGGACCACCCTTACTGAGCTAGAATTCGGCACTGACCTGCTGCTGTTTGGGACCCAGCGTGAACTTGCCCTCAGCTTTCTTAATGAGGGAAGCGCTGATGCCGGTGTAGTAGACAGAGCGAGCCGTCAGGTAGGCGCTGATGTTTCTTGTTTCGTCGGAGTCATTGCGGACCATCACCTGGGAATGGGTATCGATGTATTAATACTCCGGATTGGAAAAAGATTCATTGGGAATGGTATTATGCTGATGTCTATACAGATTCCGATGTATATCCATTTGTATTTCGTATGCTTGTATTTGGATATGTGTATTCCTGACTCGCATATGGTGCACTGGCGATAAATAGAACACCGATATACTGACACAGCAAAACATATTGTGGATTCTGTTAACAATTAGTCGATTTAAAGGTCTTAAATTCGAAGTATTCTGAAAACCCAAGAGCACTGATTATTTACGAAAAGCGAAAGATAAATCCTCACCTGAACCTTGAACTCCTGCCCGACGGTGATCTTGTCGATGTCAATGAGGTCGAAGGAGACATCGTCCTTCTGTCCGGGCTTGTACTCGTAGTACTGCTGAGCCCGACGGCATCCCCGGACGGCGTTGTGGATGGCCAGCCGCTCCGCCACCGAGTTCTCAGGGTTCTTGTAGCTGTCGAGGAGCTCCTCGCGGTCCGTGTCGCCGAAGTCGTCGTCCTTTCCGCAGGCCTTCGTCAGGATCTGGAGGGGAAGGGTTGTTGGTGAAAATGACGAGTTCTGTCATATCTAGGATGATGCAAATTATATGCACTAGAGAAAAATAATCCGTTGCAGTTACAAGGAACGGAAAAAACAAAGAGGTCAGTCATAAAGAACATTTCAGCCAGAAAAGAAACACTGATATCATTGCAAAACACGTGAACAGCGCATGAACGAACCGATCGGCCGACGTGGTACTTGTTCATCTTCATCCTGCTCCAACCCCAGTCGCTCTCTGGGTCCTCCGCCCAGTGCATGACGTCGGCGTTGACTTCGGCGAACACGAAGGGCGCGTCGTAGCTCAGGCCGATGTCTCCTCTCCTCACGGCCTCCAGGGACACGGGGCCGCACTGCATCTTCACTGTTGACAGGAAGAAAGGCACAATTAGAGGCAAATTCAAAGACAATAATCTTTACCTTGAAGCAAGAGTCGTCAAAGCAATAAATCTCGCATCGAAGAAAAGTTCTTTCACTCAATAAATCGCAGATCCCTTGAGCTACAGCGGGTACTCACACTCGCTCTCCTCCTGCGGCGTCGCGTCGATCGCCTGCCATCCACCGTAGCCGGGAGGGAGGTCAGGGCGGGCCATCCACACGTCATTCCACACGTGGAAGTTCCAGATGGAGTCCCAGTTCTCGCCGTCGGGGCCGCCTTCAAGCTCCTCGCCGTCGGAAGTGAAGAATTTGTCGATGGTCAAGGAGGAGTTCGTGTCGTGGGCAGAGACGAAGTTTGTGACGGACCGGCAGGGGATGCCGAGGGAACGGCACACTGAAGGACACATATAGAAATCAGGATGAGTATCTAGATAACTTTCTAAATCGACCTACAATTTGTCCTGTCTCAATTGAATTTCATTCCTGATAACGAAGAGATGGCTTTCATATTACCATCAAATTTGAACGAACACATCATAACAAGAACTGATGTAACACTAGTCACAAGTAAACAGCTTCGACCATAGATATATACAACAGTGCCTATGTAAGTTACTTCATACCTGTGGTAACGAGAGCAGAGAAGACCCAGCACTGGCCGTACTTGACAGGCTTGTAGCCATTCTTTACATACTCCTCCAGAATCCTCACGCTGCCAGTCCACTTGTAGGGGGCCACACCATCTCCGTACTCGCCGTCCCAGCGGCCCTCCAGGATGCCTCCCTCGTCAGAATCGTTGACCTGAGATGCAACCATGTTAGTTCTATTATTTTACAAGTGAAGAAAGAAATATCTCGATATCATGTATTAATTCTGCCAGCTTACTAGGTATCCCACATTTCCCCATCTATTACAAAGAATAAATTAATTTTCTAAAGAAACAAATACACGCATTTCTTTTTCTCTGAACATTGAAATTATTCCCCAAAAGTCCTTATATGGTCATTTTCCTACAGCTCGAGCGATGTCCTCTCCAGCAATATCGCAAGGACTCACCCCTGCGGAGATGCCTCGCACCACGCGGACGGGATTTCCGCGCTCGCTGTCGGCAATGCGGCTCAACTCGAGGATGTACACGGCGACGGGGAGAGCCACGTCGTCGAACTGGCCGAAGACCCAGGGTCGTCCACGCGCGCGGCTGAAGGGGCCGACGTAGACCTTGCCCTTGTCGTTAATCACATACTCCTCGCGCTTATCGTCGTCATCGAGGTACACGTTGTCATCTGGCGACAAGAAATTCGCCCAGCAATTAAGTACCATTATGGGATTTGAAGGAACATAAAAAAGTATGGAGAATTTTTTTTTCACTCCACGGATTACTCAAAAGAGGCGTCTCTTCTGTAACAAAAGGTCCAATTTCCCAACAAAGACTACATGCAAAAACAAGAGAATAATTACCTTTGCACCACGGGTTGAAGAGGACGTAGCAGTCAGTCTCGTCAGTGTAGACGTTCTGGCCATGCCCCTGAGTCGTGTCCTGGAGGCCACAGCGGACTTCGAGCCTCCAGATCCCCACCATTGCGGAGGCGGGGATGTACACCTGAAATCAAGTTACGAGTCTTATTTCAGATGCATATAAAAAGTCGCTGCATTTGAGCTTTCAGTCATAAGCACAGATAAAGGATTAAATTTGACTTGTACGGATATTTTTTTCTTAATGTGATGACTTTTACTGCATGTTAAATATTTCTAACTCGCAATAAGTACCAGTCAATTTTGCAAATAAGAAATGTCTTGGAATATTTTTGAAAACTCACCTGGAGGACGAGATCACGGGCGCGGGTGCCGGGGTCGATGCGGCAGTCCCAGTCGTCCTTGGTCTTGGTGAACTTGTCGTTCTCCACGGGGATGATTGCCTTGGTGCCCTTCTGGACCGAGGGCTTGTGGCCTGTCAAGAGAACGTGATCTTAGAGTGATTGTTGTTGTTGGAACCTCCCTAGAATCCTTACACGATAATGAAGTGGATTTCCAATAACTATAATGTATGAAACCTGAACTCTTTGTCCATTAACGACCCAGGAAGCAGTACTCACCGAAGTTGAAGTGCAAGAGAACGCGATCCTTCTTCACGTCGTAGTTGTCCTTGAACCTGAGGGCCAGGTAGAAGGTCTGGCCACGGCGGAGGATGGGCTTGGGCTCCGTCTCGTCGTGCACAAGGTCGTACTTGATGGTCTTGTGGTTCTTGGCATTGTCCTTGATGTACCAGTGAGTGCGCTCGACGGTGTTGGCGGAAGAAGGAGCTGGGGTTGAAAAAAGGAGGCTAAGTCAGTCTTTTCCAATATGTATAAATCAGGCCAATATTAAAGCATACGGTTCTACACAGTGTTAAAGATACGGCACTCGGCCAATACTCAGAAAGACCAGTACTAGCGTATTGCTCCATATTTAGAGGAAGTTTTTTTTAGGCCAATGCTCCAACTAATACCATATTTTAAGGAATTGTTCCTTATAGTAAATCACTATTTCTCTAATGCCCAAAATGATACTAGGGCATCTTTCAATCCAATCAGTATTAAGACTGCCCTTGCGACAGTCCTACGACCTAAGAGATGAATGAAAATGAGCCCCGTCTTTGCCAAACGGCCGTCCCCATTCATACTTAATATAAATCTACGTTATGAATGGAATGCCTGTACTCTCATTCACTAATTCGAAGCTTTACTCACGTTTCTCGGTCTCGGCTTCGTCTCGTCTGCGTCGACTGAAGCTGCGGGAGTAGTCAGCCCGTAGACTGTTCAGCCAGTTGTTGTAGTCAGATCCGTTGCGGTTGCGAGACATGAAATTCTGTCGATAGAGCGGGAAATTTAAATGAGATTTGAACTGAAAGACGTGAGATGGACTGGAAAATTGAATTCAGAATTGAAAGACATGATTCATCTGTTGATAGAGCGGGAAATTTAAATAAGATTTGAACTGAAGAATGTGTGATGGACTGGGAAATTTAAATTAGAATTGAAAGACATAATTCATATGTTAATAGAAATGGAAATTTAAATCCAAAGAGAATTGAAATTCATGATTCATCTGTTCATAGAATTGGAAAATGAAACAGAATTAGAACTGAAAGACTTATGATGGAATGCGAAATTGAGATGAAATTAGAATTGAAGGAATGGAAAACTGAAATGAAATTGGGATTGAAATTAAACTGAAATGATCCCTTTGTTAATAAAATTGGACATTTCGATTACTATAGAAATTGGAAAGCGTATTGAATCAAAAATTTGTTTACTGTAAACGGTTTGTTTACCGTTCAGTTATTGCCTCTGGCATATAAAAATGTTTCTAGTTAAATGTTTGGGTCCAAACTGTGAAGTAAAAGTAGAATGTATCAGTAACTACAAAGAAAAAAGAAAAAAAGAAAGAAAGAAAAAAACAAAACATTTTGCATTTCTATCCCTGCCAGTCACCATCCAAAAATATCAGCTGTTTAAAACACAACTACACTTCTACATGTGTACACGCGTGTGTATGTGCATGAGCGCTCGCATTTGATCTACCCCCCCCCCCTCCACGCCTTCCAATAGACTGAAGGAGTAAAACCAGAATCCCATCTGAGGGCGTTGACCTGCGTTTGACCTTGGGCTCTCCTGCCACGTGACCCGTTTGGCCGCGAAGGGAAAGCCGAACGTGACTGTGGCTGCACCGTCGTGTTATTTCTGTTTCTCATATCACGGGCGTAAGTAAAGCGGTGAGATTCGGGTGGATCTGGACATTTATGCTATCTGTTTTCTCTCTCTTTTTTGATGTTAGGTGTACCGTTATCGAATGCTTATTTTGCTGGTGTATTTTCCTTAAACCGTTAGCGAATTCTGATGTTCTATTATTATTATTATTTTTTACCGTCAACGACTTCTGGTGTTATATTTTGTATTACCGTTAACGATTTTTTTTGCTGGGTTTGTTTCGTTTAAAAGTATCTTTTTCTCTAATTTTATTTTATGTTCATTAAGAAATAATTATCATGTGTTCTCTAATTTTAGGCATAACAGGATATCTAATTGCTCGAAATTCTGCAAATTTCAAACTGAAAGGAATATTGGCTACAGATTTATTGTTCACTCCTAGACATTCTACAAATTGAAGTTTTTAAATAACAATGCAGTAACAGTCTGACTTTAACTTATTCGAAGTCACACCAATGGTTCGGACAGACTCTCAAAAGCCGTTGACTTCAAACGCAGCGACGGTTGAGGTTAATGCTTTTTCCTTCGCACTAAACCACAATCTAATCAACCTAACTTTGGGGAAGGGCAGGGCACTGTGCCACCGAGCGCCGTCACTAGGCTTAGAGAGGTGCCAAGAATGCAGACATACACACATGCCCTACCTTACCCTGTCACCCTCCTTCACCCTTCCCTTCCACCTCAGCAAAGGCCGGTTGATATTTTACTCTCCACGTCACCCTGCCAAAAGATCTCTCTGAGACCAATGCCCATTTTGTTCTGCATTAACGAGGCTTGAAAGAGAAGTTCACGGTCGGGATAAAACAAGATTTTATGAAGTTGATTCACCAACGCTGATTACCTCCCCCCTCCCCCTCCCCCTTTCCCCTTCCTCTCACTCTCTCACTACTCTTTTTGGCAGAAGTAGCACCTGTAGTCTGAGGCAGAATATTAACAATTAATGTCATATTAATGTCACGGTTTCCTTGCCGCCACAAAATCGTTAGGGATGATGTAGAGACGGTCTGTCTTACACTCACACTCACTCAGATTCACACTCACGTACTCTTAGTTACGAAACCAAGTTCACTCCTTATTCACATTCATATTCACACTCATATACAAACACACTCATTCATATTAAAAGGTGTGTGTGTTGTGTTTGTTTGTGAGTGAGTGAGTGAATGAGTGCGCGCGTGTGTGTCATTTCTGTGTGTGTGTGTGTGTGTGTGTGTGTGTGTGTGTGTGTGTGTGTGTGTGTGTGTGTGTGTGTGTGTGTGTGTGTGTGCGTGTATGTCCCACTGGAACAACACGCCCGTGTCACCGGCGACAGGACCTTCACCTCCCACAGCCTTTCCTACATTTCCTACATGACACTGACTCCCCCCCCCCCCCCCCCGCCCCGCCCCCTTCCGAAAATACAACATTAAGACCTGATTCCACATCCTCCCCTGCAAGCCTGTGCACGTCGGGGTTTCCCTGGGCACGACTCCCCCGCCCCCCTTTTCCGTGTATTTCCGTATCGTGCAACAGCCGTACATGTCTTCTGTTGCCAGTGCCACGCCTGGCCCTCGCCCGCCCATGGAGTGCCAATGGTTGTCAGGCGCGAGTCGGGGTGGCCATATAGCTTGTGGCTGACAGATACTTCCGGTATGGAGAGAAAGGGTTAATGAACAGGGGATGTTTGTCGTAAAGGTGTGTGTGTGTGTGTGTGTGTGTGTGTGTGTGTGTGTGTGTGTGTGTGTGTGTGTGAGTCTATGAGAGCGTATGTGTGTGAATGTATGTATATGTGTACATGTGCACGCGTGTGTATGTGTGTGTGAGCGTATATGTATGTGTATGTGTGTCTAAGGATGTTTATCGAAGAGATGCATTTTTGTGCATGGGTGTATATAGTATAAATGTGAAATACGGCGTGTGTACATCCATCAATCTATCTCCACGCACGTGTTTGTGTGTATGTCTATGACTGTGTATGTCTATGACACGCGTCCATGTATGTGCGCATGTACCTATGTGTATTTGTTGTATAATCCCCCGGTGTATGTGTGGGCGCAGTCATGTCTACGCATAAATCCACCCAAAGTCTCAAATTCCACGACCATCCACACGGCACCTGACGACCACTGACGACCACACACACACACACACACACACACGACCTCCCGGATGCCGACACACGACCACAGGAATGAACGTTACCAATCAGCTGCGTGTTTGTTTGTTTGTTTGTTTGTCTAAGCTCTGGGTTTTCCACTAAACTCGCGATCTCAAGGTTATTTGTATTACGACTTTCCATTACACTCGTGGTGGATGATGTTGCTATTTCTGCAACATCCGCAATTTGATTGGTTTGGATGTTGATTTATATCATCACTATTATCATTATCATTATCATTATTGTTATTATTATTATTATCATCATAAATTATCATTATTATTACTATTATGTTTACCATCATTATTACTATTATCATTGTTATTAATATTATCATCATCATTATCAGTATTATTATTGTGGTAAAAGGCATTGATAGTTTTTTTTTTAAATACTGGTGTCATTATAATTTTTTTCTATTGATACTAATGTTAGTACCATTTCTCTGCTATTACTCTATAATCATTATCCTCACTATAATTATCATTGCTATAATGTTACTGATATTGTCATTGATATGATAGTAATCATTATCTTTACTATCAAGATTGTTATCATCATTATTATTACCACTATTGCTATTACTATCATTCTCATTATCATCTTTCATATTATCATGAACATTTATCAGTGTTGTTATCGTTATCACCACTGCCATTATTGTCATGACCATTATCGCTGTAATCATTACCATGAACAATTTTCATCACTATAATCATCACTACGATCGTTTTCATTAACTTCTTTTCAGTTACTAACACGATCAATGATTCGATGGAATTCGTATGTAAAAAAAAAAAATCTTGAAAATTGTCATCACTATCTTTCGTGTCAATATTCTGATCGGTCATTTTCACTGTAAACACTAACACTAACATACATATACACTTTTATGAAAGAAAGATTTAAGAAAATAATAAACTGTAAAAAAAAAAAAAAAAAAAAATCGAATCGCAAAACTATACCTGTTTGGTGTTCGGTCGCTTATAACAGTAAAATAGGTGGTTCTGGCGTCTATAACCGTAAGCTGCCTCGTAGACCTCGTTCGCTCTTCCTCAATGAACTGAGCTTCACTGGCGAAAGTCTGGAGTATTTATAAGACCTCCTTCACCCCCCCTCTCCTCCCTGGCTATGCCCCTCCCCCCTCTCTCTCCATTTCCTCTCCTCCTCCTTCTCCTCCCCCTCTTCCGAAAAAGAAGCGCTGGTCAGGGACAGTACTGCGGGAAACCACGGAGGAAGATTTAGTTCTTACGCGTCTCGGAGGCGGGCGGACGCGTCACGGCCCAGTTCGCCGTCAAAGTCCTTTACTCATCGTCAGGATATTACTACAGAAGGAGGCGCGTCACTCCACGACCTCTCCGGAAGTGGTGTGTGTGTGTGACGCCCTCCTGTTGAAGCATTTTTTTCGTGAATGGGGTGCCAGCCGCGTGGCGCTATTTATAGATTTTTGTTTGTTTACCTTTCGGGCTTTCGCTGACGTCACGGGTGCTTGGAAGCCTGTGATTGTCGCCTTATTTATAGATGTGATGCGGGAGGAACATATGTCTATTGATCTATTTCTCTCTCTCTCTCTCTCTCTCTCTCTCTCTCTCTCTCTCTCTCTCTCTCTCTCTCTCTCTCTCTCTCTCTCTCTCTCTCTCTCTCTCTCTCTCTCTCTCTCTCTCTCTCTCTCTCTCTCTCTCTCTCTCTCTCTCTCTCTCTCTCTCTCTCTCTCTCTCCTCTCTCTCTCTCTCTCTCTCTCTCTCTCACTCTCACTCAGCATAAAAGTAACTGTACAGAGAGGCGCACATATATTACTCATACATACGTATATACGTACACGTATGTATATATATATATATATATATATATATATATATATATATATAATATATATATACATTACACACACACACACACACACACACAACACACACACACACACACACAACACACACACACACATATATATATATATATTTATATATATTATATATATTTATATATATTATATATATATATATATACATATACGTAATATATATATATATATATATATATATATTATATATATATATATATATATAATATATATACATATACACATATGAATATATATTGTGAGTGTTCCCTTCTCTTTCTCTCCCTCCTTCTCTTTTCCTTATTTCCTCTCACTTTCGTTCTCTGTCATTCTTGTCTGTGTCCTCCCCCTCCTCTCTCTCTCTTCTTCTTTTCTTCTCCTCTCTCTTCATTCTTCTCCCCCCTCTATCTTCTTCTCTTCTCTTTCCCTCTCTCATCTTTCTCCCCCCTCTCTTCTCTTTCTTCCCCCTCTCTCCATCTCTCTATCTCTCCCTATCTCCCCCCTTTCTCCCTATCTAAAGCATCAACTTTTACACACAACATAATCTTAATTTGCATATCAGTTCAGAAGTCATTGATAATACAAATAAACGTATCATTCATATTTTTTGGGGAAGTCTGTTTGGATGTGTGTGCTTGCAAGTGCGTGTATGTATACGTGTGTATGTATGTACGTTCTTATCTTGTCAGTGCATGTCACCTGCTCTTGGAATTATCGCAAAATAAGGGAATACAGGCCTTATGAATCGAAGGAAAGAAGTACCTTGAACAAACAAGTGGTAGGCCTACACTCTGCATAAACCAAAACAGCTGCGGCGGTTACATAAAATTACATACACATATGTACATACATGCACACATACATACTCACACACACTTGCAAACACACACATCCAAACAGACTTCATAAAAAAAATGTTTATCAACTATAAAAAACACCAAAACAGACTTTAAAAAGTGTTATATTGGCTAAATAAAAAAGGGCTGTAGCGTCTACACAGGCTCTATACAACCCTAAAACAGGTGTATTCATTACAGAACCAATAACAGGTATAACGGCTCCACAACCAAAAGACAGGTGCATCTATGGTAAAAATAACCGGTGTAACAACACACACAAACAGGTGCATCTAATACACCACAAATAGCAGGTGTTACAAAACACACAAACAGGTACATCTAATACACAACACATAACAGATGTAATAACACATACACAAACAGGTGCATCTAATACACAACCAATAACAGGTGTAACAAAACACACACAAACAGGTGCATCTAATATACAACTGATAACATATGTAATACCACACACACAAGCCGGTGCACCCAATACACAACCAACAAAAGGTGTAACAACACACACACACACAAGGGCATTGACTAACACAACTCCAGACAGGCGCAGGTTCCACAATCATCAGGAAAGAGTACAACACTTGTAAGAATGACGTCACATCCGCTGAGTGCACGGAAGCGCCTGTGTCTGTCAAGATCTGTCCAAATATAGTCCTACACACAGGGCGAGGGTGTACACATGTCCGTGTAGGTGTCCGTATGAGTGTACGTGAAACTCGACTTGTGTGGAGGTGAGGGCGTGGGTGTAGCTGTATTAATGATACCTTTATCTCTGTTTATCTGTTTCTGCTTCTGCTGGTTTATCTGTTTGCCCTTATATCTCTATCTTCTGTCGCTCACTATTACCCTCTTATACCTAATCTCTTCTCTCTCTCTCATTACCCCTTTCTACTTCTTACTCTTCCTTTCTTTTCTCTCTCTCATTACCTTTCTACCTTTTACTCTTTCGTTTCCTTTCACTCTCTCTCTCGTGACCTCTTTCTACGTCTTTACTCTTCCTTTCTTTTCTCAGTCAATACCTCTTTCTGTCTCTCATTCTCCTTCCTTTTCCCTTTCATTCTCTCTGCCTATCTATCCCCTGCTGCTTCTTTCTATCCCTCTCCCTTTGTTAAAAATGCGTGTACCTGCACATACACACAAATTCCTCACACACAGATACATACGTACATACGCATATGTATATCTATGTATAATCTGTATATGTATCTATCTGTTACTCTATCGATCTATTTTTCTATCTTTATCAATCTATCGATCTGTTTTTCTATCTTTATCAATCTATCTCCTGTCTATATGTCTATCTATATCTATGTATACGTCCTCACACAATTTACTCAGTATTCTCATACTAAATAAACATCACAGCCAACCACCGGAAATGAAATTCAGAATTCAGGAGACAGATGGCGCTCATAAACTATTACGTCACAGACACCGTGATCTCATTCAACCCCAAAGACACACGTCATTCACAAATAAATAAACCAAAAAATAATGGAAAGCACAAATTTAATAAATCCACAAAACGAGAAAGAAAAGAAAAGAAAAGAAAGAAGAAAAACAGAAAGAATATTGGGAATTCCAGAGCGATTCTTAATAAAAAAACAGACGTTCTGTTTTTTTCTCTCTCTAATAACAACTACAAACAAGAAGAGAGAGGGAGAGAGAAAAACAAAACAAAACACAAAGACGATATTGGGAATTCCAGAGCGATTCTTAATAAAAAAAATAATAAAAAAAAGACACATACTCTCCTTCAACCTCGGAATATTTGGCGTGATGTAAGTTTCCCCGCGAGATGTGACAGCCTTGTACAGCTAACCTTGCCTTGTCAGATTCAGGGAATACGGCGACACTGACGTACGAATGGCTTTTTGTTCTGTGAATTGCAGAAACTACGCGTTTACACATTTTTTACGAATTCGTTCTCATTTGAATAAATTTTGTGGGTTGCATAGTTGAATATGGGTAGAGAGTACTGACATGTGGACGTAGGCTGTAGATTCTCTTATATGGTTTACTGTCTGTCTTTCTTCTCTGTCTGTTTCTTTTTCTTTCTTTGTCACTTTTCTTACTCTTTCTCTCTCGCTTCTTCTTCTTCCTCCTCCTCCTCTCGCTCTCGCTCTCGCTCTCTCTCTCTCTCTCTCTCTCTCTCTCTCTCTCTCTCTCTCTCTCTCTCTCTCTCTCTCTCTCTCTCTCTCTCTCTCTCTCTCTTTCTCTCTCTCTCTCCATCACACACACTCACAAGCATGTGTATGTTTGTGTAATGTGTATTTAACTATCTGTATCTGTTTGTCTATCTATCCATGTATACTTCTTGCTTCTATGTGTACACGGCTTCTCTCTCTCTCTTTCTCATTCTCCTTCCCTCTCTCACTCTCACTTTCACTCTCTCACTTCTATTAGACAGGTGACAGGTGACACACGGATTCCTACACACACGCACACACACACACACACACACACACACACACACACACAACACACACACAACACACACACACACACACACACACACACACACACCACCTTCCCCTCAAAAAAATAAAGAAAGATTTAAAGAAGGAAAAGAAAGAAAGACAGCAGGGAAGAAGTAAGAAAGAAAGAAAAGAAAGAAAGAAAAAGAAAGAAAGAAAAAAAATGAACAAAGGAAAAAGAAACAAAAGAAAAAAACGAAAAAGAAAGAAAAAAAACGAAAAAGAAAGAAAAACGAAAAGAGAAAAAGACAATAAGAGAAAAATACGTATCACGGACCACCTCAACCCCGCGACCTACACTTCTCGCCCAAATAACTCGAATATCACGTGACACCTTTCCTGTGTACAACGGCGACCTCGCATCACCGGGCATCCCCGAAATTATCCTCTTGTAAAATAAAAAGGAATTTGAGGGAGGGAAATCGCGCATGCAAGAGAGAGGGAGAGAGGGAGAGGGTAGAAGGAGATAGAGAGGGGTAGGAGGGAGATGAGAGGGGGGTAGGTAGGGAGGGAGGGGGGGAGGAGGGAAGAAGAGAGGGAGGGAGGGAAATCGCGCATGCAAGAAGAGAGGGAAGAGAGGGAGGGGGGGTAGGAGGGAGAGAGAGAGAGAGACGGGGGGAAGGGGAGGAGGGAAGGGGGTAGGGGTAGGGAGAGAGGAGGAGGGGGGGGCGGGGTAGGAGGGAGAAGAGAGGGGGGTAGAGGGAGAGAGAGGGCTCAGCATTCACCAGGGCATCCCCGAAATTAATCTCTTGTAAAATAAAAAGGAATTTGAGGAGGGAATCGCCGCATGCAAGAGTGAGAGGGAGAAAAAGGAGGACGAGGTAGGAAGGAGAGAGAGGGAGGTAGGAAGGAGAAGAGCAGGGGGGCGTAGAGGAGGGAGGCAGTACGGAAGGCGGGTAGGGGAAGGGAGCCGAATTAGGGAGGGA